GGACCAGTTCGGCCTCCCCGGGGGCCACTGGGAGGGCAGGAGGGTGTCATGGCCACGCCCACCACGGATAAACCACGCCCACTTAATTCCCACCCCTTTGAACCCCGCCCAATTAAACCCCACCCATTTATACCTCTATTAAGCCACACCCCATTAAGCCCCGCCCAATTAAACCACACCCATTTATGCTTCCCCTAAGCCACACCCAAATAAGCCCCGCCCAATTAAACCTTACCCATTTATTCCCCATTAAGCCACACCCCATTAAGACCTGCCTAATTAAGCGCCACCCGTTTATCCCCATTAAGCCACACCTTATTAAGCTCCACCCACTTATGCCTCCCTTAAGCCACACCCCTTTAAGCCACGCCCAATTAAGCCCCACCCATTTATCCCCATTAAGCCACACCTTATTAAGCTCCACCCAATTATGTCTCCCTTTAGCCACTCCCCATTAAGCCCCGCCCAATTAAACCCCACCCAATCGACCACACCCACCCAATCCCCTCCCAGTTAAGCCACGCCCAGCCATGCCCCACCCACTAAAGCCCCGCCTATTTAAGCCCCACCCATTTAAGCCCCTCCCAGTTAAACCACTCCCAGATAAGCCCCGCCTACCAGGGGAGGTGACATTGGTGGCCCCGCCCCCGTCACGGGCATTTTCCAAGATGGCGGTGGAGGGGTCGGGGGTCGGGGGGCACCCGCTGGCACCCCCGGGGTCGTCCAGCACCTCTGGGGGCGGGGACGGGCATTGATGACATCATCGACGGTCAATGACATCATTGACAGCCAATGACGTCATCGACAATATCACGAACCATCAATGACGTAATCACAAAACCGATGACGTCATTGATTGACAATGACCTCAACGGTCAACCAGTGATGTCATCACACAGTCGTTGACTCCATGACCCAACCATTGACCCCAACACCCAATGGATGACCCCAACACCCAATGGATGACTCCATGACCCAACCAATGACCTCAACACCCAACCATTGACTCCATGAGCCAACCATTGACCCCAACACCCAACCAATGACCCCAACACCCAAACATTGACCCCAACACCCAACCATTGACCCCAACACCCAACCATTGACCCCAACACCCAACCAATGACCCCCAACACCCAACCAATGACCCCAACACCCAACCAATGACCCCAACACCCAACCATTGACCCCCAGCACCCAACCATTGACCCCAACACCCAACCTGAGACGAAGGACACCTCACTGAAGAGCATCCACTCGGCGCCGAAGAAGAAGCGACACTGGATGAAGCGGGCGTGGCGCCCGCCCAAGGGCACAGCGACCCAGCGGGCACTGGCGTCCTTGGTGGCCCCGGCCAGGCTATGGGTGGCCACCATGGGCTCCCAGGCCGTGGCCAAGATCTTCTTGAAGCGNGTGACCTTGCCCAGCGGCCCGGCCGCGCTGCGGCGTCGTCGCAGGATGAGGATGATTATGGCGAGCAGGAGGAGGATGATGGCGCCCAGGCAGCCCAGCAGCGCTGGCGACTGCCCCGCCTCACCCTGGGCCACCGGCGGGACCAGTTCGGCCTCCCCGGGGGCCACTGGGAGGGCAGGAGGGTGTCATGGCCACGCCCACCACGGATAAACCACGCCCACTTAATTCCCACCCTTTGAACCTCGCCCAATTAAGCCCCACCCAATCGACCACACCCACCCAATCCCCTCCCAGTTAAGCCACGCCCAGCTATGCCCCACCCACTAAAGCCCCGCCCATTCAAACCCCACCCATTTAAGCCCCGCCCATTTAAACCACGCCCAGCTAAGCCCCGCCTACCCGGGGAGGTCACGTTGGTGGCCCCGCCCCCGTCACGGGCGTTTTCCAAGATGGCGGCAGAGGGGTCGGGGGTCGGGGGGCACCCGCTGGCACCCCCGGGGTCGTCCAGCACCTCTGGGGGCAGGGACGGGCATTGATGATGTCATCGACGGCCATCGACAGCCAATGACATCACCGATGGTAATATCACAATCAATGATGTAATCATGAAATCAATGACGTCATTGACTGACAACAACCTCAACAGTCAGCCAGTGACGCCATCAAGCAACCATTGACCCTAACACCCAATGGATGACCCCAACACCCAACCATTGACCCCAACAACCAATGGATGACCCCATCACACAAACATTGACCCCATGACACAACCATTGACCCAACACCCAATGGATGACCCCATGACCCAACCACTGACCCCAACACCCAACCATTGACCCCAACACCCAATGGATGTTCCCAACACCCAACCATTGACCCAACACCCAATGGATGACCCCATGACCCAACCACTGACCCCAACACCCAACCATTGACCCTAACACCCAACCATTGACCCCAACACCCAACCTGAGACGAAGGACACCTCACTGAAGAGCATCCACTCGGCGCCGAAGAAGAAGCGGCACTGGATGAAGCGGGCATGGCGCCCGCCCAAGGGCACGGCGACCCAGCGGGCACTGGCGTCCTTGGTGGCCCCGGCCAGGCTATGGGTGGCCACCATGGGCTCCCAGGCCGTGGCCAAGATCTTCTTGAAGCGGCACTCGACGGCCCGGAAGATTCCGACCCCGCGCGTGTGGAGGTTGTTGCAGTGGACCTGGGGGGTGACAGCACGTCCCATGATGCCCTGGGGCAAGGTGGCCAATCCCGAAGTTCTCCAGAGGGACATTTTGGACCCCGAGGTGGCCTTGGCGTGGTGGCCACCCCTCCGTCCGTCCATGGCTGACCAATCCCACCGTTCCCGGCGCCCCAGATCTCCCAGCATCCCCTGGGGCACCTGCATGGCATGGAAGGCACGGAGCTCCTGGAACTCGAACTCCAGCTCCACGTGGGGCTGGGGCCCCGGCGGCCGCGGCCACCCCACGTAGTCGTAGCCCGGCCACAGGTGGCGCTCATGGGTCCTCAAGAAGTCATCGAGGCCCAGGACCCCGTCCGAGAGCTGGCCCAGCCCCCCGAAGTGCAACCTGGGCAGGTGGGACACACCTGGATCGAGATCCTCCAGTGACACCTGGGAACCCCCCAGTGACACCTGGGCAGGTGGGACACAGCTGGAATCGGGGATTGTCCCATCCCACCCACCTGGGGACTGCCACAGGACAACCTGGGACAGTTTGGGAACACCTGGAGATGGTTTGGGGAGACCTGGGAACACCTGGGGACACCTGGGGATGGTTTGGGAACACCTGGGAACACCTGGGGATGGTTTAGGGACACCTGGAGATGGTTTGGGAACACCTGGAGATGGTTTGGGAGCACCTGGGAACACCTGGAGATGGTTTGGGAACACCTGGGGATGGTTTGGGGACACCTGGGGACACTCACGGGCCGGCGCTGAAACCGTCGTAGGTGGAGTCGTTGAGGACGATGGGGGCGGGGTCCAGGGCCATGACGTGACCCCGCGGGGCCGTGTAGGACAAGAGCCCAGCTGGAGACGGGGAGGGGTCACCATGAGGTCACCACCCCTTGGGGACACCCAGGAGGTGCCATTGGGTGGGCTGGGGGCGTGGCCATGATGATGTCATGAGCCAACGGAGGATGTTGTCAACCAATTGTTGACCCCATGACCCAACCATTGGCCCCAACACCCAATGGATGACCCCAACACCCAACCGCTGACCCCAACACCCAATTGTTGACCCCAACACCAAACCAATGACCCCAACAACCAACCATTGACCCCAACACCCAATGGATGACCCCAACACCCAACCGCTGACCCCAACACCCAATTGTTGACCCCAACACCCAATGGATGACCCCAACACCCAACCAATGACCCCAACACCCAATGGATGACCTCAACACCCAACCATTGACACCAACACCCAATGGATGACTCCATGACCCAACCATTGACCCCAACACCCAACCATTGACCCCAACACCCAATGAATGACCCCAACACCCAACCATTGACCCCAACACCCAATGGATGACCCCAACACCCAACCATTGACCCCAACACCCAATGGATGACCTCAACACCCAATGGATGACCCCAACACCCAACCATTGACCCCAACACCCAATGGATGACCTCAACACCCAACCAATGACCCCACAGTGACAAGACCCCAACTCAGCTGCCCCAGGGCCACCACCAAGGGCCGTTGGGTGTCGGACATGACCATGGGCGACCACCACCCCTTTAGGGCCACCAGGGGTGCGTCCACAGCAGGGAGGGGACTGAGGTGACCCGGGGGTGACCCGGGGGTGGCAGTGAGGTGACAGTGAGGTGACGCTCACCCTCCCAGGGGCAGCCGTAGAGCTCCAGGCGCAGGCAGACGCTCATGGCGCGCGGCGCCCGCGGGTACACGCGCAGCNGCACAGCTGGAGATCCCCCAGTGACACCTGGGAACTCCCCAATGACACCTGGGCAGGTGGGGCACAGCTGGATCTTGGGATTGTCCCATCCCACCCACCTGGGGACTGCCATGGGACAACCTGGGAGTGTTTGGAGACACCTGGGGATGGTCTGGGGACACCTGGGGACACCTGGAGACACCTGGGGACACCTGGGGACACCTGGGGACACTCACGGGCCGGCGCTGAAGCCATCGTAGATGGAGTCGTTGAGGACGATGGGGGCGGGGTCCAGGGCCATGACGTGTCCCCGCGGGGCCGTGTAGGACAAGAGCCCGGCTGGGGACGGGGAGGGGTCACCGCGAGGTCACCACGGGGTCACCACAGGGTCACCGCGGGGTCACCGCGGGGTCACCATCCCTTGGGGACACCCAGGACGTGGCATTGGGTGGGCTGGGGTCGTGGCCATGATGATGTCATGAGCCAGTGAAGGATGTTGTCAACCAATCGTTGACCTCATGACCTAACCGTTGGCCCCAACACCCAATGGATGACCCCAATTGATGACCCCAGCACCCAATGGATGACCCCAACACCCAATGGATGACTCCATGACCCAACCATTGACCTCAACACCCAATGGATGACCCCAACACCCAATGGATGACTCCATGACCCAACCATTGACCTCAACACCCAACCATTGACCCCACAGTGACAAGACCCCAACTCAGCTGCCCCAGGGTCACCACCAAGGGCCGTTGGGTGCTGGATGCAACCGTGGGTGACCACCACCCCTTTAGGGCCACCAGCAGGGAGGGGACTGAGGTGACCCGGGGGTGACCCGGGGGTGGCAGTGAGGTGACAGTGAGGTGACAGTGAGGTGGCAGTGAGGTGACGCTCACCCTCCCAGGGGCAGCCGTAGAGCTCCAGGCGCAGGCAGACGCTCATGGCGCGCGGCGCCCGCGGGTACACGCGCAGCGCCCGGGCCACCGGCGCCGGGGACAGGTCCTTGAGCACCACGCCCTCGGGGTCCTCGTTGCCACCGATCACCTGCGGAGCCACCACCCAAAGGTGGCGTCAGCCCGGGACACCCCGGGAACTTCTCGGGGTCTGTCACAGCCTGAGGTCTCCCGGGGCGTCCTTGATGGCCTCAGCGCCACGATGTCCCCAAGGTGTCCCCAAAGTGTCCCCGAGGTGTCCCTGAGGTGTCCCCGAGGTGTCCCCAAATCCCCTCAATGTCCCCAATATCCCCAAACTCCCTCAACACCCCTGATGTCCTCAAATCCCCCCAACATCCCAAACATCCCCAAATTCCCCAACATCCCCAAATCCCCTTAACGTCCCCAAAGTCCCCAAATCCCTTCAATGTCCCCAAACCCCCTCGATGTCCCCAACACCCCCAAATCCCCCGTCGTCCCCGCGGCCACCTCGTGTCCCCAGCGGTCCCTCCAGCGCAGCCAGCGGCGCCGGTCGCGGCTGTAGCGCAGCCGGTACTGCCGGGCAAACTCGCGGCCGTGTCCCCCCGCGTGGCGTCCCTGCGTCCCCACCAGCGTCACCACGTGCAGCCGGCCCAGGTCCACCTCCAGGAACTCCTGCTCGGCCGGGAACACCGGCCCCGCCGGGCACCAGGCGCCGTCGCCGTCGCTGCGGCCCAGCCTGGGGACATTTGGGGACGTTTGGGGACGTTTGGGGGCATTTGGGGACATTTGGGATGTGAGAAAAGTCACAGAATTTGGGGACATTTTGAGATTTGGGGACACTCAGGGGTCATTTGGGGACACCCAGAGGACACTTGGGGACACCCAGGGGAAGTTTGGGGACATTTGGAGACGTTTGGGACACTCAGGGATGGGAGGACATCCAGGAGAGTTGGCGACATTTGGAGTTTTGGGTTTATACTGGTTTCTACTGGTTTCTGCCAGCCCATACTGGTCCATACTGGTTTATACTGGTCCGTACTGGTTTATATTGGTCCGTACTGATTCATACTGGTTTAAACTGGTTTATACAGGTTCTTACTGGTGCGTACCGGCCGTGGCGGGCGGCGGTGGAGTCGGACCAGGCGCTGGAGGCCGAGAGGCGGAAGTCGGGGATGGTCCCGTCCTGCATGCCCAGAGCGAAGCGGCAGCGGCCTGGGGACATCGGGGACATTGGGGACATCCAGGGGTCATTGAGGACATTTGGGGACATTGGGGACATCCAGGGGTCATTGAGGACATTTGGGGACATTGGGGACATTGAGGACATTGGGGGGATTTGGGACAGTGAGGGTACACTGGGGACACCAGGGGGACATTGGGGACAATGAGGACATTGGGGACAGCCAGGGGACAGTGGTGTCATCAAGGGGGATTTGGGGACATTGGAGACATTGAGGGGACAGCAGGGACAGGGGGGACATCGAGGGGATTTGGGGCAATTGGGAGATTTGGGGACATTGGGGACACTGGGGACATTGAGGTGGACACTGGGGACATCCAGGGGTCATTGAGGACATTTGGGGACACTTGGGGACATTGGGGACACTGGGGCCAGCGGTGGCCGAGGGGTCACTCACCCAGGTCCAGCGCTGTCCCCGCCGGCCCCCGCGGGGTCCCCTCGGCCACCCCGGCCAGCAGCAGGAGGGGGAGGGGCAGCGGCAGCGCCGCCATGGCCCCGCCCCCAGCCCGGGGACTGGGAGCACTGGGAGGGAACTGGGAATTAGCTGGGAGGGACTGGGATGGACTGGGATGAACTGGGAGGGACTGGGAGTGAACTGGGAGGGACTGGGATGGACTGGGATGGACTGGGAGGGAGTGGGAGGAACTGGGAGGGACTGGGAGGAACTGGGAGGGACTGGGAGGGAACTGGGAATGAACTGGGAGTGAACTGGGATGGACTGGGAGTGAACTGGGATGGACTGGGAGGAACTGGGAGGGAATTGGGAGGGACTGGGAGGGACTGGGAGGGAACTGGGATGGACTGGGATGAACTGGGATAGACTGGGAAGAACTGGGATGGACTGGGAGGAACTGGGAGGAACTGGGAATGAACTGGGATGGACTGGGAGGGGACTGGGAGGGAACTGGGAATGAACTGGGAGTGAACTGGGATGGACTGGGAGTGAACTGGGAGGGAATTTGGAGGGACTGGGAGGGACTGGGAGGGAACTGGGATGGACTGGGAGGGACTGGGAGGGACTGGGAGGGAACTGGGATGAACTGGGAGGAACTGGGAGCACTGGGAGCCCCCCAGCCCAGCAGCTGCTCCCAGAATCCTTTGCTGGAATTTCCCCCCTCCCCCCTCCCCCCCACAACAGCTGCAGAGGGGGCGTGACCTCGGCTTGACCCCACCCCATAATTTGCATAAAGATGAATATTCACCAGCCCCATTTAAAACCACCCGGGGCGGACAAAATGGGCCCCAAGTGTCCCCAAAATCCACCCGAAATTCCCCCAAAAAAATCCCCAAAATTTCCCCCGAGCTCCCCAAATCCCCCCCACAAAATTCTCAAAATTCCCCCAGACCCCCCAAAATCCCAAAAATCCCCAACATTCCCCCATATTCCCCCAAATCCCCCAAACTGCCCCCGATTTCCAGAAGTTCCCCCCAAATTTCCCCTAAATTCCCCCCCAGTCCCCCCGAAATCCCCCGAAAAATCCCAAATTTCGCCTAAATCCCCCAAATTCCCTCCAAAATTCTCCCAAATTCCCCCCAAACACGCCAAAATCCCCAAATTTCTCCTAAATCCCTCCAAATTCCCCCCAACACCCCCAAAATTACCAAATTTGCCCCCCAAATCCCCAATTTTCCCCAAATTCCCAAAGCCCCAGTGGCCGGTGCCCACCGCTCTCCTCGGCTCCTTCTGGTCGCTCCCAAATCCCCCCCGGATCCTCCCCAAATCCCCCAAAATTCCCGGGACCTCCCCCCGGGGGGGCTCCAGGGGGGCTTCCGGACTCCAACATTCCCCAAAAAAATCCCAAAACAAGAAGTGGGGAAATTCCCACAATTCCGATTTTTTTTTTTGAGGGGTAAAACCCCCAAAATTCCGTTTATTTGGGAGCTTTTTATTCCCCAATTTCCCTAAATTCCCTTTTTTTTTTTTCATCCTTTTATCCAAAAAATTCCCGTTTTGGGGAATTGTTATTCCCAAAATTCCCATTTCCCCACCCCCAAAATTCCCATTTGCCCCGCTTCATCCTCTCCCCCGCCGCAAATTCCCATTTCCCCCAAAAAATTCCCATTTTTCCTCAATTCCTCCCAAAATTCTCATTTTCCCCCTTTTATTCCCATTCCCCCCTATTCTCCCCATTCCCTCCCCCAATTCCAATTTTCCTCTGTTTCTCCCCAAAATTCCCATTTTTCCCCCAAAAATTTCTGTTTTCCCCTTTTCCCCCAAAATTCATATTTTCCCCCCAGAATTCCCATTTTTTCTCCAAAATTCCTCTTTTTCTCCAAAATTGCCGTGCTTTCCCGTTTCCCCCACAAAATGCCTTTTTTCCCCATTTTTATCCCAAAATTCCCATTTTCCCCAAAAAATTCCTGTTCTTCCCATTTTCCCCCAAAATTCCCATTTTCCCATTTTCATCCCAAAATTCCCGTTTTTTTCCATTTTTATCCCAAAATTCCCATTTTCCCCCCAAAATTCCCATTTTTATCCCCAAATTCCCGTTTTCCCCCTTTTATTCCCATTTTCCCCCCTCCGCCTCCAGCCCCGGCCGGGTCACGTGACCGCGCAGCTGCCGCCCCTCCCCCCCCGGGGCCGCTCCCGGGAACAGCTGGGAAAGGGGGGAGGGGAAATTCCGGTGTTTGTTAATTAGTAACTAATTAATATGCATAGCTTCTTAATTAGCCATCGCTGTCAGTAGTTATCAGTCGTTATTGGCCATTATTGCCCAATTAATTATCATTATTTTGTAATTATTAGTGATTATTAGCCATTATTAGTGATTATTAGCCATTATTGCCCAATTATCAATCATTATTTTGTCATTATTAGTAATTATTAATTATCATTGGTCATTATTTCCTAATTATTATTTATTATTTCCTAATTATTAGTGATTATTAGTTATTATTAACCATTATTTCCCAATTATTATTCATTATTCATCGTTATTAGCCATTATTTCTGAGTTATTAATAATTATTTCCAAATTATTAATCATTATTCATCATTATTGAGCCTTAATAGTCATCATTAGTCATTATTCATCTTTATTGGTAATTACTAGTCATTATTTCTCAATTATTAATAATTATATACTAATTATTAGTGATTATTAGTAATTCTTAGTCAGTATTTCCCAATTATTAGACATTATTTCCTAAGTATTAGTGATAATTAATAATTATTTCTCAATATTTTTAATTATCTCCTAATTATCAGTCATTAGTCATCATTATTTTCTAATTGTAATTATTTTTAAATTAGTAATCATTATTACTGATTCTTAATAATTATTTCCTGTAATTAATCATTATTCATCACAAATAATTATTCCTTCCTAATTAATAATCGTTATTTCCTATTATTAGCCGTTATTAGCCCCAACAACTAGCAATCATTATTCATAATTACCCATTAATTAGCAATTATTACCATAATTTCCCATTAATTACCAATTAGCCATCACTCCGAACAAACCGCGCCTTCTCATTAGCATACCCCCACCCCTCATTGCACATACACGTCAATCATCCTCGTAACCCCGCCCACACGTCAATCATCCTCGTAACCCCGCCCACACGTCAATCATCCTCGTAACCCCGCCCCTTCCGCACACACGTCAATCATCCTCATAACCCCGCCCCTTCCGCACACACGTCAATCATAACCCTGCCTCTTCCGCATACACGTCAATCATCCTCGTAACCCCGCCCCTTCTTGCCGCAACCCCTGCCGCCCAAACCCCGCCTCCCTCTCCTTTCCACCAATCAGCGCTGTCGCTGGGGGAGAGCAGCCAATCAGCGCTGTGTGCGCGCGGGGTGGGGGCGTGGCCCGGCTGCCGTGACGGGGAGGCG